TGCAATGAAGCTTGAGCTGACCATGGACTCCCCATCCCGATCGTCCTCTCCCAACATCAGCTCGTACAGTGAAAGTGGAGTGTATAGCCAAGAATCGTTGACCTCTTCTCTTTCTACAACTCCCCAGGGGAAGAGAATAATGTATTTCATTTTCTGACATGTTAATATTCACTTATAAGTGTGATTTAGACCCTTAACACTGTATCTGCAGAAGACTTAAAACCATTTAATTTTTAGTTCTTAAAATGTTTAACTACACCAGGCGTGGTGGCACATGCTTTAATCCTAGCACTGGGAAGGCAGAGGCAGGCAGATCTCTGTGAGTTTAAGTATAGCCTGGTCTATGAGGCAAGCTGCAGGCTAGCTAGAACTATATAGTAAGACCCTGTTTGAAAATAGAACAGAAAGCGTTTAAATGCCTTGAAGATACAGTGTGGAAGTTTACACATACTACCTTCCTTGTTTACCTTGGATGGAATAGGGATAGAGAATGTGACTCCATCTATAACTTAGAGCTCCTAATTATTATGGGTCTGGTATCAAACACCCAGTTGTTTTCCTAAAATTTATTCCAATTCTCTTCATCTCTTAGCTCTTTTCTAGATCATTTGCTTTTTTGCCAATTATGTTATTATTTTTTTTTTTTTTTAATTTTAACTCATCGAGAGTTCACTCTGGTTTATGAGTAAGCTCTTCCCAGCTATTGCCCCACTATTTCTTAGAGCTTGGGACTCCATACATGTAGCTCATGTAGCCTACCCAGTGAGGAGTCATCCTGCTTACAGAATAGTGCTGGGATTCAAGCCCCGGCTATCTCATACCAGCTTTCCCAAAAAGCCTCTGCTCTGAAAAAGTGACCCTCACCCTGGACTCTGGGCATTTCTGTGACCTCATAGAATTTGAAATATTCACCCTTTATTTGGACTGAAAGTCCATAGTAAAATTGCCATGATATGGGTAGAGAGATGTATATTTAAATAGTTGCTAAATAGCTTCTCTAAATAGTGATATAATTTTACACTACCATTGGTAATGTGAAAGCTATGACTTGCTTATTCTTGCTAAAATTTGATGGGTGTCAGCCTTTGTGGTTTTTTAGGGGGAGGGGTTGTATTTTTGTTTGTTTTTGGCTTTATTTGGGTCTTATTAATATACAGACATCAGAAGTAAATTTTTAAAATTTAAAATTATTTTCAATTTAATAAACCTCTCACAAATGGAGGTAAAGACTGTCTAATTAAAGGCCAGGCATGGTGGTAATCAAATTTAATTCCCATTACTTGAAAGTCAGAGGCAAACGGATCTCTGTGAGTCTTTACAATGAGTTCTAATACAGCCATGACTACATAATGAGACAGTCTCAGAATCTGAACAAAACAACCCCCACAAGAAACAACAAAATATTTTTAGCCACAGTTCTTTGTTCTTCATGCTCATCTAGTATCCTAATGTGTTAATGAAAAGAATGTACAATGAGTGATAAAAAGTGATGCACAGCTCTGGATTCCAAATGTTTATTGAAATTACTTTGTTTCATTAGGTCTGACATATTTCCAACATTTGGATCAAAACCTTGCTCAACAAGACTTCCTTCTGCAAAGAAGATCTCCCATGCTGCTGAACAGAGTCCCAATACAGGTATCTTGTTTTTGTAAATGTGCTTTATAAAGACTATGGCTGATTTGTATTATTAGAAAAATAAATACGTTTTAGATTTAGTTTTTGGTCTCATCAATTGACAATAATCATAACTCATTAAAAAGCCATTCTAATGAAAGTGAATACAGCTCTAGTTTTGAAAGAAATGTTCACTTAACTCAGTCATTGATTTCCCTATGCCAGGTTCTTCCACTAAGTATTTTTATTTAGCTGGGCGGTAATGACGCACACCTTTAATCCCAGCACTCGGGAGGTGGAAGCTGGCAGATCTCTGTGAGTTTGAGGCCAGCATAATATACAAAGTAAATTCCAGGACAGCCAGAGCTACATAGAGAAATCCTGTCTCAAAAAAACAGAAAAAAAAAAGATATTTTTATTTAATTGAAATGCATTGAAACCTGATGGTCACCATTTTGAGACCTCGATTAGTAATTCTAATGCTGCTAGCTAATGCTAGTTAACTGTTACTTGTTTTCGTGCACATGAACAAAGTTAAACACAGAAACGCTGTAAAAATGATAAAGACATCATGCCTTTACTACAGATGTTTCCAGTGGATGTTTCCTCATAGATTTTTACAACTATTATTGCAAATAGCACTGAATTTTCTAAATGATTTTCCTGTACCATTAGTAGAAACATTTACAACTAAAGCCAGTGTCTTCCACCAATGTCTAGTATCTGGATTAACTGTTCAAACTAAGGATTTTAAAAAGTATCAGTTCCTTCTGGAAGGCCTTTATCATTTAAAATGATGTTTTAGTTTTATTATTTTTAGAGAAGGTCTCATGTAGCCAAATAATCTTGATTTGTTGTGTGAGGATGGCCTTGAACATCTGATCTCATGCCTTGATCTCACAAATGCTAATATTCCTCGCATATATAACCATACCAGTTTTATGTGGTTCTGGGGATCTAACATTGCTGAAACCTTTTGTCTACTGTTTTCCTAGCCCAGCTTCCAACAGCTAACACTTTTCCAACTATTTTATTTTCATTAAAGTATTGCACTATTAACTATTTGTTTTATTTTATGTGCATTGGTGTTTTGGCTGCATGTATGTCTGTATGAGGTTGTTAGATCCCCTGCAACTGTAGTTCCAGACAATTGTGAACTGCCATGTGGGTTCAGGGAATTGAACCCAGGTCCTTTGGAAGAGCACAGTGTTCTTAACTGCTGAGCTATCTCTCCAGCCTCAAGTATTGAATTATTTTAAAATGAAGTATATTATTATTCCTTGCTGGTTTATAATGTAGCTATGTATAAAAATGGGCAGAGATGCAAATATGTTGAATAGGAATTTTTATTTAGTCAACATTATGTAGCTCCAGTAGTGGTAAAGTATTAGTATAGTATGGACAATTTAAATATGCAAGTGTGGACTAAATTCTTTGTTACTTATTAAAGGGACATACACAATAAGTGTTAAATTTTATTCTTTATTAGAGATATAATACTATTCGAGTATTTGCAATAGGCTAGGCAGTGTACTAAGTTCTTTATGTGTATTTGCTTGCTCTCTCACATGCATGTTTGCTCTCTTTTTCTTGCTTGCTTGCTTTATTTTGCAGGTATAGGGGATGTACAATAAGGAAGACCTCACTGTGTAGATCAGGCTGACCTTGAACTTATCATATAGCCTGTGCTAACCTCAAACTCAGGGTTCTCCTCCTGCCTCAGCTTCCAAGGCACTAGGACTTTTTATTATTATTATTATTATTATTATTATTATTTTATTTGCATTGGTGTTTTGCCTGCATGTATGTCTATGTGAGGCTGTCAGATCTTGGAGTTATAGACAGTTGTTAGTAGTAGTTGTAGGTGCTAGGAAATGAATCTGGGTCCTCTGGCAGAGCAGTCGGTACTCTTAACTGATGGGCCATCTCTCCAGCCCTGCACTTGGACTTCTTAAGCATACACTACTATGTCTAGCTCGTTTCCTGCATTTTACACATGTGACAGTTCTGGGAAAGTTTCTACTCTTCTTCCCATTTTACACACATTAAAGGTCTTCAGCAGTTAAGTGACAGGGCAGAAACCTATAGTCTGCTGAGCATGATTCCAGATAGAGTTCTTAATCGTGTGAAGTATACTGCTTCATTAGCCAAACCTTTGTACCCATCACATGGGAGCAGAAGAGAAAGGTGTGAAGAATGTAGGCCCCTTTAAATCCACTATTTTAACATTGGAATTTTTTTCTTTTTTGTGAGAAGTTAAGGATGTTATTTGTTAATTTAATCAGTTAAGTTCTTGATTTGTTTTTTGTAGCCCCACTTGTCCTTGAACTTTTTATGTAGCCTAGGCTGACTTCAGACTTGTAATCCTCCCCATCTCTAGTTCTTGGATGCTAGGATTACAGGTATCCACCACCACATCAACTTCAACATACAATTATTTGGTCGACTCTTTCAAAATTACATTTTTTATTTAATTGAATGTTATATAGTTTAAAATACGGTAAAACTTTAAAAATTACCAACATAATTTTTAATATTATGCTACTGATCTTTTCAAAAGGGTAGTTAGCAAAATAGATTTAGAGAAGATATATGCACCTATTGTAAATATTACCTAAATTATTTAAATAAATATGTATTTTATTTTATAGGGATTACAACATCCACTGTAAGCATAATTGGTCAACGTATGAACTATGGGTTTGGATGTGGTGATTTTGAAGATAATAGGTCACATGACATTTCACCTAGTGCTTTAAAAATACAAAATAAGGAACACCCAAGACATAAGCATACAAAAGGTTTGTAAATTTCATGACAAATTAATTTTTAATATTTAATATGACTCATAATCTTCTCTAAACATACCAAGAAAAAAATAACTAAGAATTCTTTAAGGTTTTTAACTTATCATTCTACTGATAGGTTTTTTCTGAAAAAACTTTTTAGGGATTTATGGTCTATGCTCTTGTCTAAAGGAGCCAATGCAAAGGACTAAACATTAGCTAAAACTAGGAATCTCTGGGCTTTACCCCAAGAACGTGCACAGGTACATACATACAAACAGATTTTTCTGTAAGACATTTCATCACTCACATGAGAACAGTCATGTGAATAAATTGATTATGTAAGTGTTAACCATGGAGCCAAGATGTGGCAACAGGAATGTACCTTCCTTACGATAGAACTTCTGGTTATCACTAGCTCTTGTTAACTGTTAGATTTTAAAACTGCAATAGTGAACAGGATTTCATGTGAGTGCTTTATCCATTTCCCAGGTTACTCCATGGTAGCTGCCTTTAAAGCAATTTCCTTAGTCAGCATAGTAGTTTCTACATGTCGTCTCAGCACTTGGGAGCTTGTGGCTAGAGGATTACCCTGAGTTTAAGGCCAGCTTGGAGTATGGGTTCCAATAAGTAAAGAGTTGCCTTTTTTTTTTTTTTTTTTTTTTTTTTTTTTTTTTTTTTTTGCGTGTGGCAGCTGAAACTGCTAAGATCATTTAAGCTGGGCATTAAATGATCTCAGTCTGCAGTCTCAGCACTCATGAGGCAGAGGCAGGACACTTGGGCACTTGAGGCTGCTTGGGATACATAGCAAGGCTCTGCTTAAAAAATGAGAAAAAAATGAAAAAGGTAGGGGGGCAGCCTCTGTGCTTCATTTATTACTTCTGATCATCTTAAATTATGGATGGGGAGGCAGTGTTAGGATGTATGCATGTGTGTGTGTAGAAGTAACCAGCTAGCCTAGGAAAGTATACTTTGCCTTGAGATTGACCTCATCTGTTTTGGGACATGAAATTTTTTCCTCCACTTTCACTGCTTAGCTTTCTGATGATCATTTTATGACTATGTGATTGTATGTTTCTCTCATCTTCAACCCTGGCCTGTGTAAACTCCTTAAGGGAAGAAAGGTTTCTGTTTTTGTTGTTTATCTCTTTGGTATCTAGAGTATAGTGGGTATTCTAATTTTAAATATTCATTGAATTAATTGATTTGTATTTATTATGAAATAAAGTTTCAATTTTAAAAGGCTACATAATATCCTGAAATATACTATGAGTGTTTTTAAATGTGCCTTTTTGCCTTTCTTTCTTTGTTTCTTTTTTTTTTTTTCCATTCCTTTTTCTTTCTTTTAGGACTTACAAGGTCATCAAACTTACAGCAAATTTCCAGTTTTGACTTCACATCTATAAATACCTTATCAGAAGACTCAGTAGTAATTGTTGGAAAAGGTATTTCAAAGTTGTCTAGCTTTTAAATTTATGTATTCATTACACATAAGCAACACTTGTCAACATTAAATTGAAATAATTAAAAATGAATACTTAATTTCATATTTCTGCCCTTCAATGAAACTTTGGGACGTTCATGTTAGTAACTTTCAAAAAGTAGTTCGATAATTCTGAGACAGTTTAAGGATAACTATGATAATTTTATTATAGTTAAAGTCAAATAGCAGGTTTTATCAGTGTCATAAATAATAGAACTTTATTATTTCTAATGAAAATTCAGAGTGAACCCTTGTTATAAGGTTCAGAGATGCAAGGGGACCTTGAAGATACATAGTTTCAATATCTTTAAATATTACTTTCTATTTCTTAAAATAATGTCTTAGTTACTTTTGTCATGACTATAACTAGATACCTCACAAAAAGCAACTTAAGGAATGAATTTGGCCCCTGACTTATTAGAATATAGTGCTTGGTGGTGGGAAAGTCATAATGGCACAGTGTGAGCTAGGTGCTCATAGTGCATCTCCAGTAAGGAGAGCAGAAAGATAAGTGCTAGCAGAGACCATGGAAGATACTATTTCACTATGGTAGGGAGGCATGACAGCAAGTGGCAGTCATGGCGGTAGGAAGCAGAGACGGCAAACTGGGAGTAGAGCAAGGCTGTGATTACTCTAAGCTAGCCCTTCTAGTGGCACTTCAACAAGGCCATACCTCCAAAACCTCCCCAAGTAGTGTTACCAAGTGGGGACCAAGTGTTCAAATGCCTGACACTATGGAGACCACAGTTTTATTCAGTAGCCTCTTAAGGACCCCCTTTCATGGAACCTATTCCTATCTCACATTGCCTGGACACCCTAATTTTCTAGGATATAGATGCAAGTTTCCATGGCCTTTTATCTCTTACTTTTTGCCTGCATGCAAAATTACCATGTGGATTATGCTGCCAAATTCTGCTGCCAGCTTGGGTTGTAATATTTGGGTGTTTGCAGGCAGTGCTTCACACTTCTGTCATGTTGTGTGTGCAGGCAGGAAGCAGAGTGAAGTGAGGGCTGGTGCTCCAAAGTTTCTTTTTTTAGCTGAAAAACTAAGATATGGTAACATACACAGCAAGGAAGGCACCCTTTTCATTTACTTATTTATTTTCTTCTCATATATTACTTGCTGACCGGTTTCCCTTCTTTGTCTCTTCCTAGCCTTGCTTCCCCCACCTCCTGTTTCTCCCCAATCCACTCCTCCTCTATTTTCCCTTCAGAAAAGGGCAGGCCTCCCACAGATATCAGCCAAACATGGCATATCAAGTTAGGAATGGATCTTTTTGTTCCATATTATGAAATAGATTTTGCTAGAAATAATTTGCTTGATAATCTCCTCTAATTACTTCTAGACAATTCTTGAAGATTTACAGTCTATACTTTCATTTTGTATTGTGTCTTGGTCAGTGTTCTGTAGTGTCTCATGTTTGTTTGTGCCCCACGTTGAGGGGTCATATGTAGTTGACATCTGTAGTAGCCCTACATTGCAGCTCCAGTCTGTAGGAACCTGTCTTTTCGGGGGCTTCAGTTGTATCCAGCCATCTTGCCCGGTTTGTACCTGAGAGGGGGAGTGTGGATTGAGGAAACGGCAGGTAAAGATACTAAGGAAAAGATAAAGACAGAATAGAGTTGGGAGGGCATTCCAGTGAATACTGGACATGCCAAGTTTGTTCTTCAACATTCTTATATACCCCAACCAAAAAGGGGAAAATGGCAATAGACTTCTTTATCAAGATACAAAGAACAAACAGACTTTTCTTCCTTAATTCTCCAAACATTTAGTAAACCAAATCTCTGACCTTGATGGTTAAGAGTAACCACACCAGAGACCAAGTCTTTTCTTATTTAGATAAGACATCCATGCCTTAGACCTTTAGGTCTTATAACTTCAACATTGGAATAGTAAGGGTAGTTTTGAACTCTCTGGACCTTAAGTCAAGATGAAGTGAAGCCATTTTTATGGATCCTGACAGTGTTCTAGTGCTATGAAGAGACTGTACCAAGGCGACTCTTATAAAGGAAAACATTTCATTGATACTGGCTTACAGTTTCAGAGGTTTAGTCCATTATCATCATGGTGACAAGCAAGGCAGCATGCAGGCAGGCCTGGTGCTGGAGAAAGAGCTGAGAGTTTTCCATCCTGATCTGCTGGCAGGAGGAAGATAGAGACTCTGGGCTTGACATGGATTTTTTTTAAACCTTACATCCCTCCCCCAGTGACACACTTCCTCCAACAAGGCCACACTTCCTAATGCTTTCTAATGGCAATACTCTCTGATGACTAAGCTTTAAAATTTATAAGCCAGTGGGGGCCATTCTCATTCAAACCACCACATCTTATATCCATGGACATATTTTTACTTGTCTAGTTTTCCATATAAATGTTTCTATCTCAGGGTTTCTGCTTTCCTTTCTTCCTTGGGTGTCTAAACAAATCCCAGTTCAAAGTTGTGCTCTTGGAAATCATCTTCAATACCTAGTTCACATCAGTCTTATGAATCTTCCCTTCAACTTGACTTAAAAATGCAATTTTGACCCATGTCTTCATGAATGGCTATCTTCTTGCATGGGTAGGATATTTGTTTATACATTTCATGATTATTTAACTTGTGTTTCACAGCATATTGTTTGCTTCTTAAATGAAAACCCTTAAAATTTGTTGTCTGGAGTGCCATTACAGAAACAATAACTGCTTGATGGTTGGTTGATTGCAGGTGTATTTGGAAGTCCAAATTCAGCACCAACAACTTGCAGCCCACCAGTGATAGACACTGTGGAACAGGATACATTTTCAGTGAAACCCAGCATTGAACCGCCATCAGGAATTTATGGAAGAGCAGTCCAGCAAAATACTCCATCATATCTTGATGTTGAAAATGACAAAGATGTAAGCTTCTCTACCATTCTTTAACTACGTCATTATTTTCTTTATATGAGATGTGGGATATCAAACACCTTTTCATTAACAACTTTAATTTTATTTTGTGTGTGTGTGTGTACACACATGCTGGTGTGGAAGTCAGAACATAACTTTGTGTGTTGGTCCACAACTTCCACCTTATTTGAAAGAGCATCTCTGTTACTGTGACTAGCTTTTGCACAAGCTTCTGGGAATTCTACTGTTCCTATTTCCCGTCTTGCTGTAGGGAGAATTGGAATTACAGATGTATAGTACAATACCTGGCTTTACTTGTGTTATAAAGTTTTGAGTTCAGCAAGCTTGAACAGCAAACCTAAACCTCTCTCTCTTTCTTTCTCTCTCTCTCTCTCCCTCTCTCTCTCTCTCTCTATCTATCTTAAGACAGAGTTTCTCTGTGTAACAGCTCTGGCTGTCTTAGAACTTGATTTGTAGACCAGGCTGGCCTCAAACTCACAAAGATCCACCTACCTCTGCCTCCAGAGTGCTGAGATTAAAGGCGTGCACTACCACCACTTGAACAGCAAACTTGAATAACACTCTTTATCCACAGAGCTGTCGGATTAAAGGCGTGCACCACTTGAACAGCAAACTTGAATAACACTCTTTATCCACAGAGCTGTCTCCTCACTTGATTAAAATTTTAGGTAATTGAAATTTCTGAATTTAGTCACTTAGATTGTTGATACACAGTATATAAATATATAATATTATATTGCATAATATGTTTTATGCTGCACCTGTGCTATATATATTATGATTGTGAGTGTATATATTCAAACAGTGACACACTAATGCTCTTAAGCACAAGTTTAATTGGATGTTAGTACTACATAATTCTTTCAGATTGCAGGAGTTGTAAAGTAAGGACTGAAAAGCATGTAGTTGGTTTTACCTGTAGTTCTAGCACTTTAGGAGGAAGAGGCAGGAGAATCAACTTGATATAACCACATTGAGAGGGCAAGGCCAAGCCGTACTATATGAGACCCTGTCTCAAAACAAAAAATATCATTTGTCTTATATAGACATTTAATATGCTTATGTATCTCTTTCTCCACACACAATTTTCTAAGATAAAAATATTTTAAATGTCAGACTTCCTGAATGCATCCAGATATGTACGTGGACTTTTTTGTCCCACCAGCTAGTTCCAAATAACCACTCAGAGATTTATTATTAATTATAAATGCTTGGTTGATAGCTCAGGCTTGTTACTAGCTAACTCTTATATTTTAAATTTACCCATATTTCTTAGCTACCCTCTGCCACGTGGTGGTACCTTCTTTCAACATGGCATGTTCAGCTTGCTTCTGTGTGACTTTTTTGTTCTGGTGACTCTTCAGACTCCACCCTTTTTCTTCCCGGCATTCTCTCTGTCCTGAAAATTCTGCCTAGCTATCAGCCAATCAGCTTTTTATTAACAATGAGAGCCACACATTTTACAGTTTACAGAAGGATTATTCCACAGCACAAATATTTCAACTTTTTCATGCAGACTAAGGTTTCTATGGCAAAGTCTACTTATGACAAGATGAGACAAAAGAGAAAAGAAGAAAAAGAGCTTTTTGATGCTAAAGATGGTGAAAGGAAAGAGCTGAATCCCTGGGAACGAATAAAACATACAGGAACTGAGAGATTGACATCTGAAAGTAAGTAATTTTGTGAATGCTAGTTAAAATCATGTCCAGTATAGTTATAACAGAGATCGGTGGAGTCAGTAGATGGACCCAATTTATTAAGTTTTGGTTCTGCATTTGATTAGCTTTAAGAACTGGGAATAGGCTTCAGTTTTTTGCATATGTAAGTATCCAGGTTGTTTTCATATCCAGATTAACTCAACAGTCCCTTGCATCCTCACTGGAAATACTCCTCTTTCACTAGGAAGTGCTATTCCCTTGTTACAGTTGAGGTAATTAAAATAGTGAGTTAGTTTTTGTTATGTCTTGGTCAAAGAGGTACACTCTAAGGCTTCTAAGCTGGCTCAGAGGGTAAAGGCACTTGTTGCCAAACCTGATGACCTATGTTTGATTCCCAGGAATCTAATGGTGAAAGGTGAGAACTCTCAGAAGTAATCCTCTGCCCCCCTACAAGTGCACAGTGGCATGTGTTTACACAAATAAATGTAATTTAAAAATTAAGTCACTACTGATCAACTGTTCAGTTTGTCCTTGAGTGCTACTATGTTTTTACACGTAGGCAAGAGTAGGTGCCATGATTTCTGGGGTATAGCTTTGGAGTGTGTGTGTGTGTGTGTGTGTGTGTGTGTGTGTGTGTGTGTGTGTGTGTGGGTGTGTGTGTGGGTGGCTGGTGTTTGGGGTGTGTGCTCAGGTGTGTGCACTTATGTGTTTGTTTTGTGTATTTATATATGGGTTTGTGGAGGCTACAGGTTGACATCTAAGTCATTTTCTACCTTGTTTTTTGAGTTGGAGTCTTCACTGAACCTGGATCTTATACAATCAGCTACACTAGCAGGCCACAAGCTGCAGTGATTCTTCTCTCTCTGCCTCCACTGTGCTGAGATTAGAGGCCTGTGCTGCCATGCCCATCTCTTTACATGGGCCCTAGGGCTAGAAACCAGGTCCTGATGCTTATGTGTCAAGTACTTTACTGACAGCCATCTCCTGGGATGTCTTTAAGACCACTGAATAAATTTTGGCTTTAGTACAAACTAGGAAAAAAGAAAGGGTTAAATTGAAATTTATTTTGTGAGCTTTAGTAAACGTTAAGTACTACTACTTAATTACTTTTGTTAAACTAGACTTTGTGGACTATATTATCAATCTTAAATTTATGTTGAGTTCAAAGTACATATCAACAAGAAATAGAAGAAAATTAATGCATAAATATAATCTTGCACAAAATTTTCTAAAAATAAAAATAAAATGGTGTAGTTTTATTTTTATTTTTATAAGAAGTGCAGAACTCTTCTTGACTCCTGTGTACATAGAGCTCAGCAGAAGGGAGGTTGGTTTGTAGATTTGCTACCTGAACATGGCCCTACAACCTGTTAATGTAGGCAGTTTTTGAAAAATTTCTTTGCCATTTTTAAAACAATTTCCCCACTCCCCATACTTCCTCCCCTCTCCCCTTCCACCCTCCCGCAGTCCCCCACACTTCATTTTACTCAGGAAATCTTGTCTTTTTCCCCTTCCTAGGCAGATCCATGTATGTCTCTCTTAGGGTCCTCTTTCTTACCTAGGTTCTCTGGGGTTGTGACCTGTAGTCTGGTTGTCCTTTGCTTTCTGTCTAATATCCACTTGGTATTTGTGAAATTTAACCTATTAATATTCTCAAATAATTTCACCGTGTTTTAATCTTATGAAAGCTAGGGAGAAGGAGCTGGAGAGATGGCTTAGTGGTTAAAAATGTTGGCTAGGCGACCTGGTTCATTCCCAGTATTCACATATCAGCTCACTACTGTCTGTGACTCCAGTCCCAGAGATCTGATGGATTTTTCTGGCCTCTGCAAGCACCACACACACGCACACGCACGCACGCACGCACAATAAAACACTCACTACACATAAAGTTAAATAAAATACAATTTAAAAAGATAGTTTTAAGAGTAATAGTAAAGTACAAGCAGTAAAGAATCATAAGTTTGGGAGTGCCCATTGTTGCTACTGATGTTGACTGGTTTTGTCTATAATGTGACCTTTACATTAGATTTCTGAAGCCTATGACTGCTTTCTTAAATTGATTCATATATTACCTAAACATATGACCATACATAGGAAATGGTGTTGTAGACCAACCAGAATTTAAATATTTAGTTGTGTTTATAGTTATAAACATATCGGTGCTAAAATTTTCTAACAACAAGCTTCTAGTTAGTTATATCTCTATTTAAGAAGATTCCCTGGGGCTAGGGAGATGGCCCAACATTTAAGAGTATTTGAATTTGGTTCTCAGCAACCATATCAGGTGGCTGACAGCCACCTATAACCCTAGGTCCATGGGAGTCTGAAGCCTGTGGCCTCCAAGAGCACTTACACTCACATGCCCATACGCCCACCTACCCATAAATACAAACTTTTTTTTAATTAAAAAAATCAGTAGTTTCCAGTTCACTAGATTAGTGTTACCCAAAGTATGGTCTAGGTAAACTTTATATTTTTTTGAGACAGCATCTTGCTCTGTGGCAGTCTTGACTCAGCTTCCCAAGTTCTGCAGTTACAGGCTTAAACCACCATAACCAACTAAATAAACTGTTTGTTACTCATCTGTCTTTCTTAATGTCTTAGTTAAGGTTACTGTTGCTATAATGAAACAGCATGACCAAAAGCACTTTACTTGGGAAGGAAAGGGTTTGTTTGGCTTACACTTCCATGTTACTGTTCATCGTAGAAGGAAGTCAGGGCAGGAACCTGGAGACAGCAGAGGCTGTGGAGGGGTCCTGCTTATTGGCTTTCTCTCTTTGGCTTGTTCAGCCTACTTTCTTATGGAAGTGAGAACCACCAGCCCATGGGGTGGGCTCTACCCACAATGAGCTGAGCCTTCCCACATTAGTCACTAATTAAGAAAATGTCCCACAGATGTGCCTACAGCCCAGTCTTATAGAGGTATTTTCCCAATTGAGGCTTCCTCCTCTCTGATGGTTCTAGTTTGTATCAAGTTAACATAAAACTAACCAGGGCACCACCACCCCTAGCATGCCCCCCTCACAATTTCATGTTCTTTTCTTTTCAATCCACAGAGTCCTGTTAGTACTACCATATATGCATGGTGTTGGGGCTATCCTCTGGAGCATAGATGGTAGTGTTTTTAAGATAAGGTTTTATATAGCATAGCATAGGCTTGCCCTAAACACACTGTGTAACCTCAGGTGACTCCTGATCGTTTTGTCTCTACCTCCTTCCAAGTGCTGAGATTCTAAGCGTGTGTGTGTGTGTGTGTGTGTGTGTGTGTGTGTGTGTGTGTGTGTGTGTGTGCGCGCGCGTGCGTGCGTGCGAGTGCGTGATACCTGATGGAAAGTAGATCTGAACCAGGAAAGCTAATTGAAATGAGTTTATTTATTCTTTGTTTGGCACATCATCTTCCTTACATGTCAGCTACTATTTCCTAGCACCCACATTGAGTGGCTCACAACCACCTGTAACTCCAGTTCCAGGGAATCCGGCACCTTCTTTTGGCCTCTTCAGAGGCCCACACTTACTCATGTGTAATCCACACACTAGACAGTCTAGATGTAAAGAAAAAAGAACCTTTAAAACATTCATCAAGGTCTTTAATAAAGAACTCAATCAATACATTGTTGCGATTGGGTTTTCAATTTTTGAAGCATTTGTATGTATACTAGTGTACAGCATCAAATGAAAGTTCTGATATTTGTGATTTCAACATTTTCTTATCAATATCATGATTAATAATCTTTTATGATAACCATTTTCTAGTGCCTAATAACACCTTTTTAAAAATTATTACATGAAAGAGAACCAATGGATTTTTGTTCACTTACAAAAAGCCCATTCTCTATTGTCTTTTCCTTTCTAATACTTAGATATGGTCTTCTGCTGTTTATGCTGAAAGATGCTCCACTGCTTGAACGGTGCTTTGTATCTGGAAAATGTCTGGGAAATACCTGGAAGAAGCACCATTCATATTGTTACACATGGATTTAGGGTTAGAGTGTAGATAGAAGGAGAAGAGAGGGTGGAGGGATTGTCACAAGAATACATTCTATACATGAATGAAATTGTCAGAGAATAAATAAATAAAAATGCTTTATCAATAGAAAAGCCCTCTTGATATACTGATATAATTCTCCCTAGATAAACTCTACCTTTTTTTTTTCTTTTTTCTTTTATTTTTTGCTTATTTGAGATGGTTTCTCTTTGTAGCCTTGCCTGTCATGCAACTCACTTTGTAGACTAGAATAGCCTTGGACTCAAGAGCTCCGCCTGCCTCTGCCTCCCCAGTGCTGGGAGTAAAGGCGTGAGCCATCACTATCTGACATGTACCATCATTAAATTAGTAAGTGTATAGTAAAACAAGTATACATCCATGATTTTTTAATTAGACTATATTGATTTTCTTTTGTTCTTAAAACAATACTTTTTTTTAAAGATTTTATTTATTATGTATACAGCATTCTGCTTCCGTGTATATCTGCACACCAGAAGAGGGCACCAGATCTCATAACGGATGGTTGTGAGCCACCATGTGGTTGCTGGGAATTGAACTCAGGACCTCTGGAAAAACAGTTGGTGCTCTTAACCTCTGAGCCATCTCTCCAGCCCCAAACAATACTTTTTTTTTAGCTACCTCAGCCCCAGTCAAACAGCTTTTATGCTCTTAGTAAGCGTCCATCAAAGCAACAAACTCCTACGAGAAAAACCTAAGATCAAGATATCTCTTCCACCAGGAGATGGCATCTGTGCTGGGAGGGGGCAGAAGCTGGAGCCGACCCTCTGAAGAAGGCTGTTCACAGTTGCTACTCTCAGTGTGGTGGCATCAGGGTCCTTGAAGAGAATGTGTCGAATTTAGAGACCCCCATTCTGTGAAGGGTTTTAATGAACCCCACTGCTTAGAGTAAATAAAGGATAAAGCAAGATTGGTGGGGGATAGGTCCTAAAAAAAGTAATCCAAAACAATAACAGAAACCATAGATCTGGTATGGCTCATGAATTTATTAATAATTTTGGATGTACATCCTCCATATGTTGCTAGTGCTACAACTCAGTTGCTCTGCATTAGTCCTAGTTGTTAGAATTGTCATTCCTGCTAACCCAGAAATGCCAGTTGGTGTATTGCAGTGTCTTCTTGTAAATTGGATCTGTATTTTATATGACCATTCTTTTATATGAAAAAAGCTAATTAAAAGATACAGTTTTAAATAGATGTAATTAGAGTTATCACAAGATTTTTGTTGTTTTAACAATAAACTAATGCTACTAATGTTATGAGGAAATACTCTTATAATATCTATAGTTGAATACATTTATATCCTTTATATTAAGGTTCTTTCTTGCCTTATTTAATATTTTGTTTTAGGTGATGCATCTCCTGGAATCATTTCACAATATAAAGAAAGAATATCTTCTGTCACTCATAGTCCAGAGATAATGGATTCACTGGAATTACGACCGTTTTCCAAGCCAGAAATAGCCCTGACAGAAGCCTTACGGCTTTTAGCTGATGAGGACTGGTAAGTTACCACCCTTCTTATTACTAGCCATAGTATCACTGAAGATTATTTTATTTCTTAAGCATCTGAGTCTCCCGAACTTATTAATATAGCTGTCTCTGGCCCAGATGTATTAACAGTTATGTTTTAACTTGTATACCATAAGGACACAGTTAGCTTCATTATGAGCTATACAAAACCTTTGGCATTATACTGTATCTCATAATTCATTTGAAATATAATGTATAACAAGCAATTTTAGGAACAACTGCAGTATTGGAATCGTTAAAAATCCCAAATGCTGTGAATACTTGCCAGTGTTTCAGCTGGAGTGTCTGCTGGCTGCGTTCTGCCTCCTTTTCTGCTCTGTTCCCTTAGAATCTCCTGTGGTACTGTTCTACACCTCAACATCACTTTTGCTTCTGCTAGACTATGCTTATTAACATCAAACTGTGCCATTGAGCTTGGTTGGTCAGTGATAACACACACTCTTGACATGTGCCAGGCCATTGGCTTGATCCCCAGTAATCCCCCATCCTGCCCCCAGCCAATAAGTATGCTATAACATATATCTCCAATTAAAAAAAAATTCTCTATTAACTGTGTGCATTTCCCCATTTCTACCTCCCTGCCACACCCTTAAACTGAACATTCTCAAAAAAAGGACTTATTGACACCACAGTTTTACCTCACTTTACTCTTAGCCTTCTGTAATTGGCTTTCAATTAGGAATCACTTCACTAAAACTACACAGGAACTATTTTGCTAAGTCTACACTGTTCATTCTTGGTATCTTCGTCCTGGAAAACTTTTTTCACTTTTGCTTAGAAAAAGCAGTCTCCCTCTGATTCTTTTATTCTATTTTCCCTGGGGAGTACTGTGGAATTCAGTCCTCTGGTGTTCTCTAAGCTACTTTCATTCTGTACTTCAGGGACAGTCTTTCCTTAGCAATCATTTCTTGTAAAGAGCCACAAAGCATATACTTTAGGTGGCAAATGTCTCTACTGTGAATACCCAACTCTGCTGTTGTATGTTAAAGAGCTGGAGATGGCGCACAACTATAATCTGAGCACCTACCTGGGAAGTACAAGCAGGGAGATCAGGAGTTCAAAGCCAGTTCTTCTCTACTTCACATTCTTTATACTTACAAGATGAAAACCATCAAATCCGATGGTACAGCTAAATACCAGCTGAGTTCCCTCTCTTTTGTTAGTATCCACCTTTCATCTGACCCTTTAACTCAGATAATGAAGGATAAATACAAGCCATAGAAATACCTGGTGGTAGTTTTCACTGCTTTGAGTTATTTCCTCACTAATGAACTAACAAGTAGTTTTTTTCTTCCTTTTTTTCTCTTACTACTTTTGTATCTTTTGTTATTTGTCTCCTAATCTCTTTTTTGTTTGTTTGTTTTGTTTTTCAAGATAGGGTTTCTCTGTGTAGCTTTGGAGCCTGTCTTGGCACTCGCTCTGTAGACCAGGCTGGCCTCCACCTCACAGACATCTGCCTGCCTCTGCCTCCCGAGTGCTGGGACTAAAGGTATGTACCACCAATGCCCGGCTCTCCTACTCTCCAGAAAGAGTACTGGTTCTTTTATTGAAATAATAACTTCACTTGACTATTATGGTGTTCCTTGATATTAAAAGTTCTTTAAGCTGGACAATAGTGGTGCATGCCTTTGATCCCAGCACTCAGGAGGCAGAGGCAGGAGGATCTCTGTGAGTTCGAGGCCTGGTCTATAAAGCAAGTTCCAGAACAGCCAGGACTACACAGAGAAACTCTGTCTTTGAACACTCCCCCGCCCAAAAAAGTTCCTACATGGATTTTTGAGATTACTAATTAATAAGGAAGAAAATAGTTTCCTCATTGCCCCCCCCTCAAAAAAAGACATTTGAGATTCTATTCTAACTATATCCTGTTTCAGAGATGATTTTGTTATTTGTCTGTCCATAGGGAGAAGAAGATGGAAGGATTAAATTTTATCCGATGCTTAGCTGCTTTTCACTCCGACCTGTTAAATACGAAGCTACATGAAACAAACTTTGCAGTAGTTCAAGAGGTAATATCAGATAAATTGAGGTTGTTTAATTAATTAGGAATTAACATACACACTTGATTTTCACACTGTTTAGACAACTCTGTAGAGCATTCTGAATTTGTAATACTTGAAAAGTTATTCGATATTGATTTGGGGGGTAGATATATAATAACACATAATCATGGCCAAGTTGGTGGCGCATGCATTTAACCGTGGCACTGGAGAGGCAAAACAGGAGGACTTCTGCGACTTTGAGGTCAGCCTAGTCTACTGAGTTCATGTAACCAGATGTATTAATTTAATGTTAAAATTCAGTCCCGAGTGATGTTGTTGTGTTTCTAACAGCGTGTGGGGGGGGGGCAGTTCATGTTTAAAAATTGTCTTTTAGGTAAAAAATTTGCGGTCTGGTGTGTCCCGTGCTGCTGTGGTGTGTTTAAGTGATCTTTTCACATACCTGAAAAAGAGCATGGATCAAGAACTCGATACTGCAGTAAGAGCTTTGCTGCACAAGGCTGGAGAATCTAACACATTCATAAGGGAAGATGTGGACAAGGCGTTGAGAGCTATGGTGAATAATGTAACCCCTGCACGTGCAGTCATTTCTCTCATCAATGGAGGACAAAGGTAATGTTCAACATAACCCCGAAACACCCTGAAACTGAAAATTAAATTGTGTTTCTGTGCATAGTGAGGATAAAAGCAAATTTTGCATAAATAATTTCTCCCTGATAAAAACTGTAAATTAAGCATGCGAAGAACCATAATATTGTTTTTCTAATAATATCACATATGGCCAGGCAATTGTGGCACACACCTTTAACTATTGTCAGGTGTTTTTCACTTCTGGGTACATTGGGACTTTAGGGTAAGATGACAGGCTAGAAGCTGCCTCTGAGCCTGGTATGGAAATGGAATTCTCAACAGAAAGGTTTTTACAACTTCAAATAGACATGATCAAGAAAAACCTCTCGATGATGGATCATAGTCAAGACGTAGAAAGTTGTAATGAACCCCATTATTATGTATAATTAATAAATGCTAATAAAAACATTGTTCCAAATGCAAAACACACAAAGGACATTAATGAAAGCTATGAGGAAGGGGCTGGCAAGAGGGATAAGCTGTCAGAGCTTCATGCCATCATGCCTGATGACCTTTGTTTGGTCCTCAGGACCTGCATGGTGCAAGTTTGAGGAGTTCCCACAGTGATCCACCGACCTCCACACTCCACACAGCATAAATACCCACATTCACACTCTTAATGATTTAAACAGCAACAACAAAAATAAACCTGTAAGGGAAAAACACCAGCTTACCTACAAAGACTGGCACATCAGAATAACATCAACTCTCTCATCAGCAACACTCAAAGCCCAGAAAGTGTGGAATGATACATTTTAAGCCATAGAAGTATATAGCTGCCAACTACAATTGTTATATATGGCGAAGCTATCTTTTAAACCTGATGGAGAAACATAATGCACAAACTAAGGCAATTCATGGTAACTAAACTAGCACTGAGGAAAATACTTCAAGGAATACTGTACATTAAAGAGGAAGAAAGTCTCATTCATGTGAGTACTGAAAAGAATTCATTTCATGCCAGGAGTTGGTGGCACAGGCCTTTTAATCCCAGTACTGGGGAGGCAGATGCAGGTGGATCTCTGTGAGTTCGAGGTCAACCTGGTCTACAAAGCAAGTTCCAGGACAGCCAGAGCTGTTACACAGAGGAACTCTGTCTCAAAACAACTACAAAAAAATCAAAACAAAACCAAAGCAAGAATACATTTTATGAGAGGAATAGATGAACACGGGAATTTATGCCATACCTGGCACAATAAGTGATTAAGCCCCTAGTGTGATTAGGGAGGAAGAAAAGAACTAACATTCCAACCAAGCAGAACCAGCCAACAAAAATCATTGCAAATTGGCAATCTTTCTGTAACAACCTTAAATATAAATAGGTTCAACTCTGCCATTTAATAGATGCATATCATACTGTGTGTGTTGTTGTACACCTTTAACCCCAGGACTTGAATGGCACAAGCAGGCAGGTGTCTGAGTTAAAATCTGCCTGCTCTACTTAATAAGGTACTGGCTCATTGGAGCTATATAGTGAAAACCTGCCTCAAAATAAATAAATAGAAATAAGAGATGTGGACCAGCTGACAAGATTAAAAACCAAATCCATCTGTTTATAGGAAGCACACCTCACTGGGAAAGATACCAACTGAAAGGCAAAACATGGATGTCAACATTTTAAGCAAATGGAAGCCAGAAGAAGCTAGTGGAGCTTGTTTTGATACTGATAGAGTTCAAAACAAAAGTAGTCAGAGAGACAATGATTAATACATATTAACAAAGGGAACAATTTATCATGACATTATAATAATTGCAAATGCACTTAATGTTGAGACTCCCACTTCAGAAATAAAACACACAGACACACACACACATATATATAAAAGAAAGGCCAGAAAGGTCTTGATTCAGAACTAGTATATGACTCCATTGTCCTACTCAAGTCTTTCAGTAGGTCAGCCAAACTAAAATAAGACAAATAAACCTCAGCGTAAGGTGTGGTGGCTCAGTAGGTGAAGGTGCCTGCTGCCAAGCCTGACTACTTGGGTTCTATGCTGCATCCCATAACGGAAGAAGAGAACCAACTCCTGAATGTTGTCTTTTGACCTCCACATATGCACTAGGACTTGTGTGCTGGCACACTCATGCATGTCTCTCTCTCTCTCTCTCTCTCTCTCTCTCTCTCTCTCTCTCTCTCTCTCTCTTCACACGTGTACACACACACACACGCACACACATAATAACAACAGATTAACTGGATTTAATAGCTATCTATAAAATACTCCATCTCACAGGTGTGGAATACACATTCTTTGCAGAAGCCCATAGAACCTTCTCTAAAATTGATAACAGTATAGGCTATAAAAGCAAGTCTTCTAAGAAAAAAAAATAAGTTATTTTTATTTTGTGTGCATTGATGTTTTCCCTGCATGTATATCTGTGTGAGGGGGTAGGTCCTGGAGTTGCATATGGGCTGCCATGTGGGGGCTGGGAATTTAACCCAGGTCCTCTAGAAGAGCAGTCAGTGCTCTTAACTGATGAATCATGTCTCCAGCCCCCAAAAGCAAGTCTTTTTTTTTTTTTCCAAGACAGGATTTCTCTGTGTAGCTTTGGAGCCTATCCTGGCACTCGCTCTGGAGACCAGGCTGGCCTCGAACTCACAGAGATCCGCCTGCCTCTGCCTCCCGAGTGCTGGGATTAAAGGCCTGCACCACCAACGCCCAGCAAAAAAGCAAGTCTTAATAAACAAGAAGTAATTGACATATTTGATGTATCTTCTTGGGGAAAGATAACTAATGTGAGTCATTTGTGATTTCAGCCTCCCAGCGTGATTGATGTTAATTTTTTCCTTCTTTTTATTCTTTGTGTCTTTCAAATCATGCATCCGGATTCCTGTTCCTTCATGTCTTCCCTCTGCCCTTGCAAGCTCTCCCCCAAATGAGAAGTTGTTAAATTTTTAACAAATTGTTTGTTAAGCTATGACTGTTAGAAAATAGTTCATTCCTCAACTTCGATTGATTTGGGCATGTTTTCTTTGTAGCCATTTGCACATTGCAGTAAGAAGATGTACAGCACAGCACTTGGCAGATGTAGTAGAATTTATGGAACCTGAGCGTATTTTATCTGGAACAAAGGATATGGCTGAACGCTTATTGCCTGCTGCTGCTAAGTTTGCTCAAGATAGCTCACAAGAAACCAGGTGAATAATTGGTAATATTTCCTGAGGGGTTTTTGTTTGTTTTAATTAAAAATGTATAGGTATTCATTTTGTGTATGTGGTACATGAGTGTGCCATGGTGTGCATGTGAAGATCAGAGAACAGTCTGAAGTAGTCCAGTCTCTCCTTCTACCATGTGGGTTCTGAGGATTGAAATCAAGTCATCCGTCTTGGAAGCCGGTGCATTTACCCACTGAATCGTCTTGCTGGCCCCTAAGTTTCAGAAATAAGGCTTAAAGGGGGAAAAAAGGATTTTTTTAAAAATGAACATTTTTCTAAATAGAAAGATGGGGTACTGGATTGATACCAAGGATAATCTTATTTTCCAATTTGTATATGATACCAAGCAAGTACATCATGAATTCTCCAAATGTACAGGTGCCACTTCATAATTCTTAGTAGTAAGTTGTTAAGTGACACAAGACTGTAATGGGCAGAAGTTCTAGTGGCAGAACTTCATTGTGGGCAAAAGTCAAGTAATATATTGAGGGGAAAATTATATTTTTAAAGCAACTATATAAAAACAAAGGAAAGAATTCACTTGTATAATGCAGGAATATGCTTAACAATATTATCAACAGAAAATAATGTATTTATACTTTGAATATTTCATGACTTTATGGTGACTATTACTTGAGCCAGTTTAGGAAGGTTAATAACATTCAACAAAAGAAGGCAAGATAATATTTATAGCATGATATCTATGGTGGTGGCAGAAATGTTTTATTTAGTAGGAAGCCTAGATTAAATTCCTTGCCTATATCTCTGTTGCCCTTCAGTAAGTTATTTAGCCTTTATTGGTCAGTTTTTGTAAATTTAGGAAGATTGGACATGGTAACCAATAGTGTCTTGGAAAAAAAATCTAAAATTTTCTGGGAGAAATATGTAGTTTCTGGGGGTGGTGGCACATACCTTTAATCCCAGCACTCAGGAGGCAGAGGCAGGAGGATCTCTGAATCAGTCTAGTCTATAGAGTGAGTTCCAGGACAGCTGGGGCTACACAGAGAAACCCTATTTTGAAAACAAAACCAACCAACAAACAAAAACATTTAGAAATATTCAGGAGAGCCAGGCATAGTAGTACATATCTGTACTCCTAAAACTCAGGAAGCTGAAGCAGGCAGGATGATCTCAAGCTTGAGGTTAGCCTGGCCTGCTTAGAAGACCCTCCTCAAAAACAACCAAAACAAGAATTCAAGAGGATTAAATCATTGACAAGTTAGAAGGAGAAATAAAGGATTCTTAGTGGTTATGTGGGGTATGTTTGTATTTTACTAGCCCTTTTTTTTTCTTTTGTGTGTTTCCTTTTTGTACTGAGTCAAACCTAGAACCTAATATACTCGAGGAAAGTGCTGTACCACAGAGCTATGTATGCCCAACCAGTACTAAGCCTCTCTTTTAGTTCATGTTGTTAATAATTTATAGTTCAGAGAATGCATTTCACTATTTGTTAATATATGCCAAAGTACTAATTATTTCTCACAAATCCATAGGTATTATGGCCGTAAGATGCTTTTCCTCATGATGGGTCATCCTAACTTTGAAAAAATGCTGGAAAAGTATATCCCGTCTAAAGATTTACCATATATTAAAGAATCTGTTAAAAATTTGCGGCAAAAGGTATGTGAATTAAGTTTGTTGTGTAAAGTATTTTTAAAGCAAAGCTTATAAGCCAGACACTCACAGCTATTGCAAGGTGAAGGCCAGAGAGTCAAAGGAGGTCAGGACATCATCAGCTTTATATTGAGTGTTGATCTAGCCTTGGCAACATAGTCCCCAGTCTCAAAAAACAGGTCCACCCTCCAAATAAATAAATAAATAAATAAATAAATAAATAAAGTAATAGATAACAACTAACTAAATAAAAGTAAGTACAAGGTGTATTTTTTCATAAAGGTAAAGAATATAAACAATTGTTTTTTAGATTATTCCTATGGTACCCATTTTGAAATAGGGCTAACCACCATTTTTTTTTTTCCTAACCTGAAATTCTAAGTAAGTAGTACATACATCTAAGGAGAAGTATATACTATCAAGCCTAAAGGGTAAATGTTTATTGCTTATTGAGATTTAAATTATGGGGTAGGAGAGATGGCTCAGTGGTTGAGACCACAAATACTGTTCCAGAGGACCCAGGTTCAATTCCCAGCACCTGCATGGAGACTCACGGTTCTCTGTAACTTGAGTTCCAGAGGATCCAGTATCTTCTTCTGAACTCATGGTCGCAGGCACACATGTGGTGCACAGGCTTAAAGGCAGATAAAACACATAAAATAATAATAAAATAATTTTTAAAATAAATCTTAAAAAGAAAACCTTAAATGATGGTAGGACATTGAAGGAAACTTTAAATGTGGTAGGCTGTTGTTTGGCCTATTACAATTGTAAGACTTGCATTGCAATTCTGAAAGTTTACAACCATATAATATTTAATATAGCACTTCATATCTATAACTAGAATTTTAATTTTTATAAAATGAGAGTAGTAAAATGTGAGAAAACATTTTGTGTTTAATGTAATGTACAATTTTTTATGGTTACATTTATTTGTTTATTGAAACAAACTTTTTTTATTTTTCTATACCACTCTCAGTTCCCCTTCCCTCCTCTCCCCTCCTCTTCCCTCCACTCCCCCTCACCATGTAATGTACAATTTTTGTATTGTAACTTCATGTCATTTTTTTTAATGACATGGGTTAAGGAGGACTCTTTATATAATGTATTTTTTTAAAAGATTTTATTTATTTATTTATTTATTTATTTATTATGTATACATATTCTGCTTCCATGTATATCTGAACACCAGAAGAGGGCACCAGATCTCATAATGGATGGCTGTGAGCCACCATGTGGTGGCTGCGAATTAAACTCAGGTCCTCTGGAAGAGCAGTCGGTGCTCTTAACCTCTGAACCACCTCTCCAGCCCGAGGACTCATTTGTAAAGGGTTATTACAAAGATGCATAATAAACAGGCATTTTAGAATTTCATAGACATTCTTACTCATATAGAACTTACTAAAATAGTCATGTAAACAACTGACTAAAATGAAATTGATTTTATTTGTGAGTCATTTCCAGTACAATAAATAGAAAAATGTCTTAATTTTTTTAGTGTGTGTATGCATGTGCAAATGTGCGTGTGTGCACTTGTTTGTGTATGTGTATATACCTGTGTACCATGATAAGAATGTGTGTAGGTTAGAGGACAACTTGTGGGAGTCAGTTTTCTCTTCCTAACATTTGGATCCTAGGAATGCAACCCACACTCTCAGGCTTGGCAGCAACTGCCTTTACCTACTGAAACAGAGCCTAAAATAGTTCTAACCAAATGTTTATTCTCACTCTTGATGTCATACAGAAATTTACTATTTGTGGATTATATTTGTTTTCTGTATAAATTTTAAGCCTTGAGAAAAGTACTTTAAGGTTTGGAAACATGGTTCAATGGTTAATGGTAATTAATACTGCTCTTGCAGAGGGCTTGAGTTCATCAACCATAGTGGACACCTCTCAACTGCCTGTAGGTCCAGCTCCAGGAGATCTAAGGCCCTCCTCTGGCTTCCATAGGCACTCTATTCAACGTACTCATTTGTATATATATACACATAATCAAAAATAAAATATAGTCTTTGGCCGGGTGGTGGTGGTGCATGCCTTTAATCCCAGCACTCAGGAGGCAGAGGCAGGCGGATCTCTGTGAGTTCGAGACCAGCCTGGTCTCCAGAGTGAGTGCCAGGATAGGCTCCAAAGCTACACAGAGAAACCCTGTCTCGAAAAACCAAATATATATAATCTCTTTTGTTTTTAATTTTAAAGAGTAGGACAGGGTTTGGTGCTACACACTTTTTTTTTATCCTAGCAGATGGCAGGCAGAGGCAGGTGGAGTTCTGTCAATTTGGCTAGCCTGGTCTGTAGAGTGAGTTCCAGACCAGGCAGTTCCATGGTAAGATCCTGTTGAGTAGTGGTTTTTTGTTGTTGTTTTTGTTTTTTTTTGTTTTTCGAGACAGGGTTTCCCTGTGGCTTTGGAGGCTGTCCTAGAACTAGCTCTTGTAGACCAGGCTGGCCTCGAACTCACAGAGATCCCCCTGCCTCTGCCTCCTGAGTGCTGGGATTAAAGGCGTGTGCCACCAACGCCCTGCAAGAGTAGTGTTAAGTAATGGTGACTTAGATCATTAATGGGCAAAGCCCAGGGTTTAGTCCTCAATATGGCAGTGGTAGGAGAGTATATAATTTATAGCATACTAACATACATTTATTTTATAGTGCTGACATCAAATCTGTTAGTTTACCACTACTCTCAAGATATTTTATGTATCTAGTAACTTTAAAAGCCTATATTATTAACCACTTAACATTTCAAAGATTTATCATTTATGTTTGTGTATGTAGTTCTGAGCATGTCATCCTGAGCATAGAGGTCAGTGAACAACTTTGTAGTATTGGTTCTCCCCATTCAATTCCAGTTAGGTATCAGGGATACATTGCAAGTGCTTTCACCCACTGAGCCATCTCTCTAGGCTCCATAAAACACAATGTGTTTTACCAGGCTGCTTTGAAAAGCCATTGTGTATGTTATCGCACTGCTAATTTAAATGTCTCCTGTTGACTTTGTGTTTACTTACAGGGTTTGGGAGAGATACCACTAGACACGCCATCAGCAAAAGGAAGGCGATCTCATACTGGCAGTGTTGGACACACGAGGTCATCATCTGTTTCTCGAGATGCTTTTAGTTCAACCGAAAGGTAGTATAATCTGATAGTCCGCACTATTTGAGAAATAATCCTCACTATCTCAACAATACTAGCTCAGTAGTATTTGTCAAACTGATGAATCTTAAAAGATTAGTAAAGACATGGAAAATTTGAGATGCCTAGTTTTAATTGGGCAGTTCTACATAGGTATCTTTTATATTTTTACATACATATGTCTTTAAAATTGTCTATGTATTTTAGTATAAATTTAATACCAAATTCAAGTCTAGAGTTGGCACATGTGCAGGTCTGGGGCCGGGGGTGTCATTGGTAGGATATCTTCCTAACTTGCATGAGGCCCTGGTTCTGATGCCCAACATCTCATAAACGACAGTGCTTATACATGTCTGTCTCCCGACACTTAGAAGACTGTAGGTCATCCTTGATTATATAGTCAGCATGAGCTCATTTGTAGCACAAATAATAAAAAACCAGAGACAGTTATTAGGGGTTCAAGCTGAAGATGAGAAAAGCAAAGCTGCCAGCCACTAGAAAGTTCTTACTTCTACCAAGGCACAAACTGAAGGGGCAATGGTGTCTTCAGAGTGATTGCAGACTGCAATCCTCTCCACCAAACCTCAGACTCCCTGAGACTGCACTGAGCTCCTGCCTTATATTCCTCTCTAGTGCTGGCATTAAAGGTGTGTCATCCTAAGTGCTGGGGTCAAAGCTGTGAGCTCTGTTTGTCTTTTATACTGATTCACTCTCATGTAGCTCAGGGTGGCCTTGAACTCACAAAGATCCATCTGCCTCTGTCTCCTGAGTGTTAGGATTAAAGGTATGGCCACCATTGCTTGTCCTCTATGACTAGTGGTTTAGGTGTGAGGCTAACTAGTGGCTTAGCTCTGTACTCTGATTTTCAGGCAAGCTTTGTTAGATTACAAAGTATCACTGCACTCACTCATTCATTGAAGTATGCTTTGTAAAATTTTTGCTGGATACAATGACTCAGTCCGGTAATACAGCACCTGGGAGACTGAGGCATGAGTGTTTCTATGAGACTAGCTTATACTGCATACCAGATTCCAAGCCAGAATGAGCTACAGAATGAGATTCTTTTTCAAAAAAACAAAATAACAACAAAATGCTTTTGCTGGTGTTGGTATATTCCCATAATCTCAGCTACTATTGAGGCTGAGGCAGGAGGATAATGAGCTCAGTGGCGAGTTTTGGACATCATAGTGAGACCATGTCCCAAACAAAAATGTGGACTGAGTGAGTGGCTCTTTGGATGAAGCTTGCTGTGTAAACCTGAGTATCTGAGTTTCAGTTCCCAGCAGAGATGACACTCCTACAAGCTCACTGACCAGCTAGCCTGGTACATGCAGTGATAAATAACAAGGGACCTTGTCTCAAACTAGGTGGACCACCAACATCTAAAGTTGTCCTCAGACCTCTAATCTCACCACTAGGGAAGCAGAGGCAGGTGGACCTCTGTGAGTAGGATGACAGCCAGGACTATTTAGAGAGACCCTGTCTCGAAAAAACAAAAGAAACAAACAAAGGGAACAAAAAAAAAAAAAATGAACAAGATCAACAAAATAAATATGTTGATTGGGGGAAAATGCTGTTTTTAACTTGCCTGCAAAGTTAATCCTTTATTGGTATTAGAAAGTAGAATTTGAAGAGCAGTGTACTGTTCGCTAATTTGTAAGGCTGTTTATTGTGCAGTAATTGTCTGAACATGGAAAGTGACTTTCATAGAAGACTGCTTTCCTTCAAGGAGTCTGAAATGCTGTCACATCCTAGGCAGACACAATGAAAGTCCAGAGAAGAGTCTTTGTCTTTAATAAGCTTCCTTGTTAGACAGCATCTCACATTGGATGTGTTCTGTGCAGTGCTACTGGGAAGGGTCCCTTAAAAGCTTGCATCTAGCCAGACATGGTGTCATACGCCTTTAATCCCGGCACTGGGGAGGCAGAGGCAGGAGGATCTCTGAATTTGAGGCCACACTGGTTTACAGAGCCAGTTCCAGGACAGTCAGGACTGTTACACAGAGAAATCCTGCCTTGGGGAGAAAAAAAGTTGAATTTATAGTAAGAATTTTTAATTTTAGGCTTTGTAGGGAAGTAAAAATGAAATTTATCTTTCATTTTAGGGAAGTAACTGAAGTTCGAGAAGTCCCCAGAAAACCAGCTCCTCGAAATTCCTTAGAAAGTGCTGAGTACATTAAAGTCATAACAGGTTTATTAAATGCAAAAGACTTTCGTGATCGTATTAATGGGATTAAACAACTTTTATCAGATACTGAAAACAATCAGGAGCTTGTGGTTGGCAACATTGTGAAGGTAAGAAACACAAAGTTAATTTTACTAAGCTTTGTGTGTGTGTGTGTGTGTGTGTGTGTGTGTGTGTGCCCTACTACATTTCTAGAATTCAGAGGACAAATCTGGGGAGGTAGTTCACTCCTTTTACCCATGGAACCCAAGGATCATTAAATTCAGGTCCTTGGCCCCTCAAGATTAATCTACATGAAAAAGGAAAAAAAATTAATATAGCAAATCACCCAAAACCCTGGAGCTTAATTTATGTTATTTAAAAGTGTTAAAAAAATAAGTTTAATGACAGGAATGGATTACATAGGATTTGCTATGTTAAAAACATTCTAGGAAACTAAAATGTAACAGGAAAAAAAAAAATAAGAAAATGGTCATGTTGGGGGCTGCAGTTCAGGCAGAGTGCTTGTTCTTCCAAATGACCCGAGTTGAACTCCCAGCACCCACTTCTGGCAGCTCATAGCTGCCTGTAATTCCAACATCTCTGGCCTTGAGGAAACCTGTACTAC